GATGAATCAAGAAATAAATTATTTGATGCGACAAAATCAGGTGTAAGAAAACTGAGTTGCTTGAGAACAGTAGTGAATTCAATGACCATACATTTGAGCAGATCTTTCCACCGACTACAAGCACACCAATAGCACAATCTATGTAATCAGATAAATCAGGAAACGCATCATTTGGTGACTTGACTCATGCTAAACTTTCTACTATTGCCCCGATGCAAACGCAATCTGACACACATTCATTACTCGGAGTGGCATGAAGAAAATTCAATGAGTAGATACATGTCTACTTCAAATCAATAGTGAAGCATCCGGATCTTTGACCCACTTGATAATAACCATATATCTATTTGAAGCAAACAATCCAGGGTATGGAGGCGTATACAATCTGAGAATAAATCCACAGTCGGACAATTTATTATTAAGCAAACTCCAAGTGAGCTTTGATATTGGTGGACTTTACCTGCTATTGGATTCTGAGAAGAAGAAGGAGAGAATAAAATTTAAAATGTCTCCCAGAATTACTCGATTTGATATTTTTGACAAACCGCCTGATACAAAGAATTTAGAACCCGAAACTTGAACACATTCAAAAATATAATGATTAAAACTAATGTACTTCGTAAAGCATATTGTTCTACATATGACCCAGACCCAGACGCCTGAGATCATCAGTGGTCTTGGGTATATATTTGAAAGCACCCAATATAAAATATATAACGATAAGCAATATGAATATGTATATTGGAATAATATCAATGAGTTTAATTGATAGACTGAGGCTGCTATGTAGCTAAAAAAATGGCTGGGCATACAAACCACGATAATGAAATTATATCATTAATAGAAGAATTGCGTGAAGAGGGTGTCATACGTTGATTCGCATATATCTTTATTTGTCAACCTAGAGTATATCACATCACTTATAAATATGCCTTAATGCAGCGTGATGTTAGGTATGGCGCCGTTGACAAATTTGGACGTTGCGCGTCAAAATGGCATAGCGTACTTAGTACACCTGGCATTGGCTTCAATCTAACTACTAATGGTGACTACGATATTGAAAAAAAAACTGATGAAGAATGTTGGTGATCCTGTGGACAAAAACGATGCTGTGACTGTAAAGTATATTGAAGAAACCATGAATAAATTTGTAACCGAAATGGGTAAATTGATACGACTAGCAGTTTCCAATGTATTAAGTGATTCAGTGACATACTGCAACGATAAGGTGCTGGAAAGTAAACGTGACTTTGACAAAAGTTTAACAAATAGAGTACGATTTTAAATCTATCACTTCCATCTATATAAACTAGATACCTGCAAATACAAGCTCATTCCATCAGTGTATTCATAGTAGTGAATATGTCTATCGTAAGCGAAACAAAACGTGGTATAGCCAAGGAGCTACATATGGCGGGTCGAAGGAATTTCCCCCGCCGAAGAACTACCATAAAGGGTTTCGGTGACTTGTGGCAAGCTGATTTGGCTGAAATGCAATCTTTCAGTGAAGAGAATGATGGATATAGATACATAATAGTAGTTATCAATTGCTATTCTAAGTTCATGTGGTGCAGACCAATTGAAAGGAAAGATATGATAACCGTAACTATTGCAATGGATGATATTTTACAAACGGCTACCCATCACCCAAAGAACCTACAAACGGATAATGAATCGGAGTTCTACAACAGCAAATTTTCCGCTCTGATGCACAAGTATGGGATTAACCATTATTCCACATACAGTACAAAAAAGCAGCAATAGTTGAGAGAGCTATCCGATTACTAAAACACCTACTTGTCACTAAATTTTCAGTCAGGGGGTGCTACCGGTGGATCAATATCGTAGCAGATGTTACTGATCTTTATCACAACAGGAAACATCGAACGACAGGTGTAAGCCCATCGGAGTCGACTTCCATACACGATTGAATGTGTGCAATCATCCAAAAGTAGCTGAAAAAGGGAATCTTAAGCCTGGCGATATCGTCAGAGTAAGCAAATACAAAAGTCTTTTTGAAAAAGGGTATACATCGAACTATTCGACGGAGTTGTTTAAAATATACAAAGTCAACATTTCAAATCCAGTTACATATATGTTAGAAGACGTGGAAGGTTTTCCAATAAAAGGCTGTTTCTACGAGAACTAAGAAAAATAAAATTTCCAAATGAGTACTTGATTGAAAAGGTGATTAGGGGAAAGGGCAACAAGCTGTTAGTTAAATGGTTGGATTTCCACATTATAAAAACTCGTGGATAGATATTAATGATGTATTGTAATCGTTTTCTGTTGGACTCTCAGTTTTATGTTTTGTGTTATATTTACGTAGTCGCTATATGTTCGAAATGGTTGTATCAATAAAAAAATACAAATTCTTTAAATCTTGTTTTAATAAACTAACCTAGACACATTGATTTTTACATTCATTCAAAACCCCTGAACATACCATACCCACTTCACTCTCCCTCCACTGTTATCTTTCGTTTCAGATTCAAAGTCCTTTACCTGTCCACAAGGGCAATATAAAAACGTTAAATCTGCCTGGCCTTACTTATCCTTATTGGTTAGCATGCATACAAGAGGTTAGGCCATGCCGTATATTTACTAATCATAAAACGCCTCTAACCTACCGATTGATCGTCCTCCTCTTTGAATTCACCCCCTCCCCCTTATATGTGTGTGTTAGGATTCCACATAAATTCAGTCGCACCTGCTACGTTACACTGGTTGAGTCTGTTAGTACCAGCATATTTTGTCCCCATAATCAATATCATTATGCAAGCAACCGCGAATAATCTAGATGACATTGCAGTCCTCCATAATAATTTGGATGCAATTATAGCTGACCTGGAAGGTGACGAAATTCAACTGACTCAGATGACAAACTGACATAGAACTCCGAGAGTTCATTCAAATTAGACCTGCTGAAGCTGCGTGTTGGAAAATACAATGGATAATCCCACAACAACACCGCTTCCAGCAGTGAAGGCTCACATCTCGCTTTCAAAATCGTTAAACCAGATGAAGCACGTAATTGAAAGAACAAAGAAAACCTCCACCAAGCAGCCGAACAGTCAAAATGGTATCAATGCTTTCAAAGAAAGTATAATGCTAATTAAATCAGACATCCAAAATACCGAGCGACAATTGGCAGTGGAAATGGATAAGAGTCAAAAACTGCAAGAACTTCTTCATCAAGACGAGGAACTTCTAAAACAGTTAGACGAGGACAGAAGCGCGTACGTGAACAGAAAAATAGTAGGAACCGGCAACTGGACGAAGTGATGAAAAGGGTTGACAACTTGAAAGAAATGGCACAACGGAAGAGGGGCAAGCTTTTAGAAGAAAAAGAAACACTTTTACTTTTATTTGATTTTTGAAAATGTACATATATATGTATGTTATATGCACTCAAAACAATGGACTTACTATTCCATACAATGTTGCACCAGACGCTAGCTCAGCAACAGATAACGACTTCTCGCTAACTCGTTGTTTACGATTTATTTCTAGAAGTGCTTTGTAAGCACACCAATAGTATAAATAGGCCTTGCGCCTATTTCATGTTGTTCAATACCCGGCGCGACACCGTAATTTACGCTAACTAATAAGTTCAATTGTAACATTTGTAACGGACAGAAGTTACTGTCCTCAAATAAATTTTTTAAAAAGTAAAGTTGAATTTAAATGATATAACATGTATAATGTAATAAACCTTAAAATTAATTTTTAATTTAATTTTTTTCCGTCATGTATAATACGTGTATCATAATTCTCAAAAATAATAGATTAGGTGTGGTCAAATAGAGGTGTGCTTGTAATTTCCGAAATACTTATTCCTTTAATTAATAAGTGTTTTCTCCAGGACTGTTTTTCAAAATCCGGCAGACCTAACAATATTTATTGACCATTTGTTGCCCATACGTTCCTTGACTATATATTCTAACTGATTGTAAGTCATTTGTACTGATAAGACCTTTATCTTTTAAATTTGAAAATATGTGTGCAAAAAAAATACAAATATATATGTTATATATTATACAAAAATAATAAATATAACAATCAATACATAAAAACTAGGTCTAATAATCAAATATACATAAGTATACAAAAAAAACTAAATGTATCATTTCTATCCGTGCGACCTTCGATCGTACCATGTGTCAATTAAATCCCATAATATAATATATAGGGTGGCAGCTGGGGTGCTACCTGCAAGAAGTATATTTCTAACCTAGATAAAAGAAATCTCAAATCCTGACAGTGAGACCTTGGTTACTAGCACAGGTGAAATTGCATAGTCTTGTGGCAGAAATGCCAAACATTCCGTATTGAAAGTTGTCGCAAAACACTCAATTCCTTAGTGTAATAAAAAAAAGTCCCTTCTTTCACCAGCAGCCATTGCTATTTTGTCTTGTGTGGATGTTGTCGAATATTCGGACGCATATTATGAGAAGAATTCCTGAACGCACAATCGAACTTGCCCTGTATGCTACATATATGTATAGTATATACAATTTGTACGTTGTGTATCTTCAGCTATCGTTATCTTTAATGTAAAATTTGAAAATGGCTGCAGACATCTGTCGGAAACTTAACATTTCTTTGATCGCCTTCACTCAGTTGATGGAAAAATTTTAAGGCATTACAATATAATGTATTCATGTATTTATCATCTGTTGATGTTCTTCAATGAAATAACAACAACTAAATATGTCAGGTATTTATTTAATAAGAATGCATTGTATAATCCTATAGTAAACTAAATAGATAGTGTTCAATCCTCATACACGAGGTTATATTTGAGGATAATTTCCGGAGGTAAATACCTTGCAATCTCACACGGAAATGATCTAAGGTTATAATTAATCAAATCACTACAAAACTGCTCAATAGTACAATCTTCTTGTAGATACTGCGCACACAACTTCTCGTATTTCCGAATTAGTCTCCTGATCCTTTCAACCTCGTTATCATCCCAACAAATATTCATATCGTAGTTTGTTGAATGTTCAGCGTCATGCATCAAATCCGTTAACTGGCACACTAATATCATGATAGCTGTACGTAGATCCTTTGAATCAGGCCAACGCAATGATGCATAATGCATCCACATCTTGTCAAACCAAAGGGGGTGTACTGCTTCTGGAAAGATGAATATAATGATCAATATCAAGTGGAACATGATATTTGTCAAAACAACTTTACCTGCTGCATTTTCCTAACCCTTTATATTACTTATACCCAACATATTTGCCTATAATACCTCATATTTTTTTAAACTAATTACTACTGTCAACAGAGTCAAACTTTATCAAACATTTTGGACGACTACCTGATGGTGTCTTTGGTGAGCTTTGGCCAATATACGCTAAAGAATATTTGTTTAGGGACTCATTTATATCTTTAATCATAATTTCGGGCATGTTTTCCAACACTCTTTTAGGTAGCCAAACCCTAAACTGGTCAGAATCAGAATCAAGAAGGGTTGCTACTAGGCATTGCCCAATTCTATCTGTTAGGTACTTCAAGAATATTGTTTAGTCACTTATCGATGTTAAATGGCTGAATTTGAATGATCAAAGCTACTGTTGTTTCACCATTTATATAATAACCAGCAGAGTTAGATTACCTTACAGCACCGCTGCATATCCTAAGACATTTGAACAACCCAACCCCCAGATAAATTTCGGGTGGGCCACAAAAAAAATATATAGTTAACATTTCAATTATTCTGCACCGAACTGCTGAGAGACTTTACAATCGGCATGGCCATTGTGAGGACAACAATGCCTTAACGACAACTTCCATCAACGACTCATATTATATTATAAACGCGTTTATGATCTGAGGACAAAAGCACGAAAATGTTTTACAGTTCTTGATAAGGGGACCGAACTGCTGTGTGGTTTTAGAATGAGTAGGGTCATTGAGAGGGTAACAATGCCTTCCTCGAGCTATTTATACGATACAAATTTGTCGAACAACACGTTTTCGATGTTATGGGGATGGTCATTGAGAGGACCTGGAATTTAAACACCCCCGTCCCTTACCTCACCGCCCCTTACCCCACCGCACATGACGATTGAGATGGCAAAGAATGGTCATATCATCGGATTAAGGTGTAGGGATGACGAGATTGAAGTAGGAAAAGAGCGCTGCTGCTCGTTCGCCCGGTCGATGAGTTATAGTAGTGAGGGGAGAGAGGTGGGGAGGGAGGGACACTATCCGTACTCATTTCTATTAAACAACACATTGTCGCCCCCTCCCCCCCCCGAGACTTAGAGGATTCGGCTTCCCACAACAGCACGAAAATGTTTGCTATTTATACGATACAAATTTGTCGAACAACACGTTTTCGATGCGATGAGGATGGACATTGGGAGGACTCGGAATTTAAACACACCCCGCCCCTTATCCCACCACACAAACCACCCCTTCACCCCCCCCCCCGGGAGGAGTACCTTTCGGCCTCAATCATCTACTATAGTTATATCGTTTTGTCGTTAAGTCGTTATATCGTTATGTCGTTATGTCGTTATATCGTTATATCGTTATATCGTTATATCGTCATATCGTTATATCGTTATATCGGCATATCGGCATATCGACATATCGGCATATCGGCATATCGGCATATCGGCATATCGGCATATCGGCATATCGGCATATCGGCATATCGGCATATCGGCATATCGTCATATCGTCATATCGTCACATCGCCACATCGTCATATCGTCATATCGGCATATCGGCATATCCTCATATCGTCATACCGTCATGCCGTCATACCGTCATACCGTAATTCCGCCATACCGTCATACCGCCATACAGTCACGTCGTCATGTCATTATATCGTTATATCGTCATATCGTCATATCGTCATATCGTCATATCGACATGTCGCTATGTCGCTATGTCGCTATGTCGCTATGTCGCTATGACGCTATGTCGCTATGTCGCTATGTCGTTATGTCGTTATATCGTTATATCGTTATATCGTTATACCGTTACATCGTTATATCTTTATATCGTTATATCGTTATATCGTTATATCGTTATATCGTTATATCGTTATATCGTTATATCGTTATATCGTTATATCGTTATATCTTTATATCGTTATATCGTTATATCGTTATATCGTTATATCGTTATATCGTTATATCGTTATATCGATATATAGTTATATCGTTATATCGTTATATCGTTATATCATTATATCGTTATATCGTTATATCGTTATATCGTCATATCGTTATATCGTTATATCGTTATATCGTTATATCGTTATATCGTTATATCGTTATATCGTTATATCGTTATATCGTTATATCGTTATATCGTTATATCGTTATATCGTTATATCGTTATATCGTTATATCGTTATATCGTTATATCGTTATATCGTTATATCGTTATATCGTTATATCGTTATATCGCTATATCGTTATATCGTTATATCGTTATATCGTTATATCGTTATATCGTTATATCGTTATATCGGTATGTCGTTATGTCGTTATATCGTAATGACATGACATGACGACATGACGACATGACGACATGGCGACATGACGATATGACGATATGACGATATACGATACAAATTTGTCGAACAACACGTTTTCGATGTTATGAGGATGGTCATTGAGAGGACCTGGAATTTAAACACCCCCGTCCCTATCCTCACCGCCCCTTACCCCACCGCACATGACAATTGAGATGGCAAAGAATGGTCATATCATCAGATTAAGGTGTAGGGATGACGAGATTGAAGTGGGAAAAGAGCGCTGCTGCTCGTTCGCCCGGTCGATGAGTTATAGTAGTGGGGGAGAGAGGTGGGGAGGGAGGGACACTATCCGTCGACTCATTTCTATTTAAACAACACGTTTTCGATGCTATGAGGATGGTCATTGGGAGGACTCGGAATTTAAACACACCCCGCCCCTTATCCCACCACAAAAACCACCCCTTCATCCCCCCCGGGAGGAGTACCTTTCAACCTCAATCATCTACTATAGTTGTATCTTTATGTCATTAAGTCGTTATATCGTTATGTCGTTATATCGTTATATCGTTATACCGATATATCGTTATATCGTTATATCGTTATATCGTTATAACGTTATATCGTTATATCGTTATATCGTTATATCGTTATATCGTTATATCGTTATATCGTTATATCGTTATATCGTTATATCGTTATACCGTTACATCGTTATATCTTATATCGTTATATCGTTATATCGTTATATCGTTATATCGTTATATCGTTATATCGTTATATCGTTATATCGTTATATCGTTATATCGTTATATCGTTATATCGTTATATCTTTATATCGTTATATCGTTATATCGTTATATCGTTATATCGTTATATCGTTATATCGTTATATCGATATATAGTTATATCGTTATATCGTTATATCGTTATATCGTTATATCGTCATATCGTTATATCGTTATATCGTTATATCGATATATCGTTATATCGTTATATCGTTATATCGTTATATCGTTATATCGTTCTATCGTTATATCGTTATAGCGTTATATCGTTATATCGTTATAGCGTTATATCGTTATATCGTTATATCGTTATATCGTTATATCGTTATATCGTTATATCGTTATATCGTTATATCGTTATATCGTTATATCGTTATATCGTTATATCGTTATATCGTTATATCGTTATATCGTTTTATCGTTTTATCGTTGTATCGTTATATCGTTATATCGTTATTGGTACTAATTTATGACGCTCAGCGATTACCCAATCGTGATCAGGCAATTTGATTCTACATTACATGAGCATTAGAAGAGGTGCTTGCTTATTTGCCGCAGTTACGCCAATAGGGACTTGAGCTCTATCATCTTGAGATATGAAAAATACTTGATCTGGTCCAGGTATGGATGCTATGTTCTCTAAATAATGGATTGATGTTTCAGCGAACTTGCTATCTAAGTGGCTCTTGTGGTGATCAGTTTGTGCCCGAATGAGCTTAACAGAGACTGTCGATACCTGTCTTCGTCACTCTGCAGAATTAGATTTTCTGGGAATCAAACGAAGATAATAAAGCTATATCCTCGATTGTTTTCAATAGCGAATGTTGGTTGCTTTCAAGATTAGGACGTCCCACTGAATCCCTCAGAGATAGTCTATTTTTATTTCTGGACTTTCATGAAAAATTTCTAACTTTCTTTTCGTACCATCCCTATGTTTCTTCTGGGTAACTGCGTTTTGAACCTTCCTGTTTAAAGACTGTTTTGCTGTTTTTATTTCCTCGCGCAACTTAATGATCTGATTATCAACTTCAGCACGGCTTGGCCTAGTATCTCTGGCAGAATACAAGGCCTTCAGATTTCTTCGGGTAGAGCAATCTTATTTTTCATAGCTTCCTGAGAAGGTCTTGCTCTCTGTTTATCTGCATTTCCATTAATTTCGCATTGCTGTTGTGATTCATTACCGGGATTTATTTTATCTTCTTCCTCTTTTTTAATATTTGTTGCTGACTGTATAATTTGTGTTTTTTCTGCAGGTTTACAGGTTTCCTAAAAATAAAAGCTTTCTATGGCTTCTGCTAAAGATTCTCTTATTAAGCTAGATAAATACGAAGTATGGCAATATACTATATATGGTAAATACAAAACCCTATGGCTTTAAATCTAATATGTTTAAACGAGCAATTCGTTCCGGTCACAAAATACAGGGGTTGGTTTATTATTTATGTATAAAACTAACATCCTGTACTTTGTGACCAATTGACGGAATCAATCATAAGAAATAAATCTATAATATAAATATTACCTCTACACTTTGAGATAGGCCATAATATTTTCTAATCAGTAAAGGGAAACTTTTTGGCGATTTCTAGTATTTCTAGTATTCATAGATACCTAAAATGATTTCGTCACTCACCTTAGAAAAAAAATTTAGTAGATTGGATTTATTCTTAGTTGTCGCTTGCAATTCTTCTTCGATTCTCTTAGATACAATAATATCTAGTTCCTTGTCGGATTTTGCTTGTAATTTGTAATTTCGCCACACTTCGTTAACTAACTTTTGTACATTTTGTACTTTCGTACTTGTATGAGATTTTTCAAAACTTTCAAACAATTTTTGGTATAACTTGGATTTGTCTATGTGAAACGACATCTTGTTTAAACATTTACCTTTGGCTAATGGGATCAATGGTAACACAAATGTTAACTTGCATTACTATGGTTACAATACGTCTACTCGCTATAGTGTCCAAATAAAACAATACACTGATAGAGGAAATTTAGACAAGTGAACACCGTGCTGTTCACTAAACGTATGCATTATTTGCGGGAATCCCCGAAAATGCGTTTCGTTTTCAAGCAAAGACAATGTAAGGGTTTCCATTCGTATAAGAAAGTAAATAACTACCGATGACGTGAGCATCATCTAGACTCCCATACCCCCCATGTCATCCAAAATAAGCAAAGCAAAGACCCCGACGCCCCCATAGTGCTCACGTAATACTTGAACGGCCCCTTATCGTTATCGTTATCGTTATCGTTACCGTTATCGTTATCGTTATCGTTATCGTTATCGTTATCGTTATCGTTATCGTTATCGTTATCGTTATCGTTATCGTTATCGTTATCGTTATCGTTATCGTTATCGTTATCGTTATCGTTTTCGTTATCGTTATCGTTATCGTTATCGTTATCGTTATCGTTATCGTTTCGTAGTTTTTGTGTCTAGCTTGCGAATTTAATCCTTATTCCAGTCTACTATTCAAATACTGTACTGAATCACTGGAACCGCCAAGCTGGAGATCGCCTCACATTTATTCTTAGCGTTGAGCTGTTACCTAAGTATCAACCTGACTCTTCTACAGTATTCCGCCTTAATCCGCTTTTTCATTTTTCATTTCTGTATCTTGCGTACCATCTCTATCGTCGATTCCTAAATACTTATATACTCCACCATGAGTTAGTTCCTGAATTTCATCTAATTTGATGTTTGTAGTGGTATGGAGTTTTCTATAAATGAATGTGGCTTTGGCGCATTTATCGAGACTGAAATACATCGTAATGT